CTTGGGGGTTGTGCTGGGGGTTGTGCTGAGAGGTAGTACTGGGGTATGTGAGGCTGCGTGGGGGGGGTTGTGCTGGGGGGTTGTGCTTGGGATCTGTGCTGGGGGTTGTGCTGAGAGGTAGTGCTAGGGGTTGTGAGGCTGCGTGGGGGGTTGTGCTGGGGGGTTGTGCTTGGGGGTTGTGCTGGGGGTTGTGCTGAGAGGTAGTGCTAGGGGTTGTGAGGCTGCGTGGGGGGTTGTGCTGGGGGGTTGTGCTTGGGGGTTGTGCTGAGAGGTAGTGCTAGGGGTTGTGAGGCTGCGTGGGGGGTTGCGCAGGGGAGTTGTGATCGGGGGTTGCGAAGGGGGGGGGTGGGGGGGGGTGCTGAGGATTGTCTCCAGTCTTGCCTTCGCCCGTCAAGGTTAGGAAACTGGTTTGCGAATTTGCGATTTTGGCTTAAAAAATTCTGAGACCCAGCTCGGGGGAGGGAGTTTCTTAACGAAAGATGTGGGTGCATGTTCAATCCCACTGAGTGGGACAACTTTGTTTTAAGGTACGTCGGCGGGGGTGTCCTGCGAACGTGGCCGATATTTTCCAACGGCGGCAGGAAATCCGGCACCGACGGCACGTCTTTACGGATGGCTCGGCGCAAATTCCGTTTAATCGGTTCCCGCGCTGTCCTTTTCATCCGTGACAGCCGTCGCATGCCGAATGTTCGATCCCACTACGTGGGATAGCAGTTGCCGCTGATTCATAATTAATCGTTCAGGCCTCAAGGTATCGTTTGAGAAAACCATCCTCCTCATCATTATCCTCCTCCTCGTTCTCCCCCTCTTGTTTCCCCCCATCCCCAATCGACCCTGCAACTCCTCTGGTTTCCTTTCGCTTCCGCATTGTACCCATCGTCCTCCGAATCCGGCCTTACCCCCCCCCTTGTTTCCTCGCGCATGTTGCCACTGGAACCCATCAGGCTGATCCAAAATATTGGCTCGACAGTCCCGTCGCTCGTTTAAACCGTTGCACGTTGCATCATTGCCTGCCTCAGTGCAACTCGCCTTTGCATGGTTGCTGGACGGGCTGGTGCGATACGCCAAGCGTGACGCATTCAGGTATTGAAAAAACTGTTCGCCCGCACCAAGTTCTCCGACAGCATCCTCGCTCAGTGCCCGGGCCTTCGCCTTTGCTTTTGCCTTTGCTATTGCCGTCGGTAGGGAAACGAAGGTCAGCGGCAAAATCTTCTTGCACGCCATGCCCCCAATAACGCGGGATAGCGCAATCAAAGCGTAGGTGAATCGGGACATCGTTACTGTCGGGAAAGCAGGCACCACGAAAACATTCGCCAATCGAGTTGCCAATTTTGATCTGAAGTCGTGCACCGATCTGCAACACGGTCTCTTCGATGCAGGGTCGAAGCAGTAGTGAACCCAAGAATCATTGTGGGGGTCATCATTCAACAGCTCCAACAAAGAGTCTACGTCATCGACAAACCAAGAGGCCCCAGTCGAAGATCTGGATGAGTGCTTGCGGCGATGATGATCACCAGTAAGGTCAAACAGTGCGTCGAACATCTGAAACCACTTCTCTCTATTGCCAGGAGGCGCTGGCATTTCAACTCGATCAGCCCGCTCCACAATCTGAACGATCCGCGTTGACATGTCGTTGACCGTGCCTGCAAGCTTCATGAGATTACTCATGCAGAACAGTTTTCCAACAACTGGCTCGATGTCTGGGGATGTGTTCTTAATGCGATGCGAATTGTGCATCTCGCAAAAAGTGGCGTCCGGCAGACCAGTTGGGCAATTTTCCGACAACACCGCTGCGAAGTGCTTGATGCAAGGCATGTTGGTGGAACCCTTATCTGCACGCAGGTCCTCAATAACAACGTCCGTTGCAACGGCCACGGCCTGCAACACGGTCCCCGACGAGAAATCGAACGGCTTCACCATTTGGAGACCAGCGGCAGTGTAAGAAGCCGCCTTGCCATCCAGAACGAGAGCCTTGCAGACGAGATCCTCCTTGAATGTGTAGACTTCGCCGCCCATCGCGAGGGTCACGATCAGCCTGCACCCTTGGAACAAAACCTCGTGACCGACTCGTCGGGAGGACGGGCGGCCGAGTTTTTGCGCAGTCGCCAAAGCCATCTGTTGCTTTGTCGTGTCCCATTCATGAGATATGGTGATGACAACGTAATGGTCTCGGCCGCCCCTCCGAAACCGCGCAGCCTTCCAAAGCAAACGCAATATGCCGAAGTTCCTCATGTCTTCTACCAACGATGCTGAAAACGCACGAAGGCGAGCTGGTTTGATCGAGAAGCCGCTGGCGACGCCGACATTGAAGGACAGCAGCGCCAACTTCTCACAGTGTTGTCTGATGAACCCTGGGTCTTGCTTATCACACTTCTGTGCCTGAATGCCGCACGCACGTGCGACGTGCGGAAAATGTGCAGCAACCTCGAGGCACTTGCTGGATGCAGCCTCCTTCTCCTTTGAAGTCTCTTCGGCTTTGGCCTCAAGATGTTTGGCCCGCTTCACTTGACGAGCCATCTGCAACAACTCGGGCGAACGCCTCACCCAGCTCGTGCGCACAGGTTCCGCCTGTCGCGGTCGCGGCAGAAACCTACATCGCGGAACCTTTACATGTAAAATTCTTCCACGCCAAGTCTCTAATACACGGAAGGAAAAACAAAACACAACACCATTGTGGCGTTCAGCCCCCAGAGGCTGATGCGATGTAGGTGCCCACTGCACGTGCCTTCGGCCGCTTGAACGACTAGGAGCGATGGCCACGGCCAAAAAAAACAAAAGACAAAAAAAAAAACAAAAAAAACACACACATACGAAAAAAGGACAAAGAAAACCAGCAAGGGACAAAACAAGAGAAGAAAAACGAGAAACACAAGAAACAAGAAAAAGGACAAATACAAAAAACAGCCACCACAAGACAAGCTCTGCTAGAAGAGCCAGGGGGCCGCCGCCGTTCCCGTCGCCCCCATCGCCGACCGCTCCGGCAAGGTCAGGAGCGGGATCCTCCGGGACAGCCATGGCGAGGTCGGCCAGAGCTGCCGCGGCGTTCATGGCCCACTCCCAACAAACAAAAAATGTGATCTACTTGGGCCCACCGTCAACTATGAAAAAAGTAGAGTCTGTCGACGCGGCAACGACCACGGATGAAACGTGCGCGGGCGCGGATGCGTGGCAGCCACCAGCCTTCGTTAAGCAGAGCTGATTTGTGACATCTTCAACTCCTTCTTCTTCCCCTTCGGGGCAACGCCCCTGCCAACATTGCCCTTCCCCTGGCGCGAGCATGGGAAGGAAACGCGCGGGGTCGCAGCGACCAGGATGGCAAAGCATGGTTCCAACATTGCTCCGAACAGTCCGAATCCAATCCAGGGTGGTTCACGACATCCTGGGATGGCTTCAAGCGGCTGCCACTATGCCTCCAACAATGTCAAATCATGATGAAGGCGGCCTCAACTGGCCATGGCACCACCCACAAACGCCCGATCGACTAGTTCGAATCTTCACGCGACAAAAACAGAGAATGTCAAAATATACGCGTTGCCACATTTTCGGAACAAGTAGGCCCCCGAAGTTTCGAGATGGCTCGAAGATGGACTAAGAAAATCCCTAGGGTGCGAAGGACTGCCCAAAGCATCTCCAAGACGGATCGAACGCACCCGAGAAAAGCCCAATGGGTGCCTAAAGATGGTCAAAAAAGAAAAACTGTAGGGCTCTCGGGGTGACGGGCTAATTTGGGCCACTCCTCTTTCATGGATCGGCGGCCTTCAAGACGGCCACGCAATTGCTTCCAGAGCCCCACCCAAGAACCTACATAGCTTCGCGCTTTGCTGCATGGCGCAAACTGCTTTGCTGTTGCCAATCGCATGGGCCCCGAGAGCTCGGATCTCCGAGCAACAAGGTCACGCCCAGCAGTAGATATTACAAACAAGCGTTCGCATACTGTCACACCTTCTAAATCACCTGCGAGCGCCACCGCTTCCACAATGTACGAGCAAAAGCACTCGAGCGCAACAAAACAACTCGAGGTGCATGCTTGTTGGCCACCAGAAGCCGGTGCCCTCCCACCGCTTTACATTGCCAGCCTTCTGCTAGCAACGGCGCTGCCAATATTCTAACACCGCCCGTCAAGGAGAAAATGCGTGTGCGCTCGACCGTAATAAACAAACCAGGTAGATGGAAGCGAGACTGTTTTGTGCGATTGTATCGTTTCATTCGCCTGCAATGGTCCTAGCCCCTTCGCCAATGCCCAAACGGTTTTCCCCAAATACGTACTCGTGTGAACGTCAACGCCTTACCAAATTTTCGTGTTTATACGTGTGTGTCAATCGACGATCTGGCATGTTTCTTCGTACCGCCCAAAAACCGCCCCTGCCCCCGCCCAGACATGATGGCCCAATAGACAAGGGCGGACGCTGCCCCCCAGATGAAGCCAAGATATGCTGATGTCTTCTATGTTGTCATGGTATCGACATGTTATGTTCTGCCATGTTATGTAATGCCATGTTCTGTTGTGTCATATTGTGCGATGTCGTGCTTTCGAGGCCGCGAGGCGGGATACCCAGGACTGACAACTTGGGGTCTGGCGGCCGCGGTCAGCAGGATGCGTTCTGTCGTGTTTGTCGAGGGCGCGAGGTCGAGGGCGCGAGGCGGGATAACTGGGACACTCGGGACAACTTGGGGTCTGGCGGCCGCGGTATGCAGGGTGTCTGGTGTGTTTGTCGAGGGCGCGAGGCGGGATAACCGGAACACTCGGGACAACTTGGGGTCAAGCGGCCGCGGTCTGCAAAGCGTGTTTTGTCGTGCTTGTCGAGGGCGCGAAGCGGGATGACCAGGACACTCGGGACAACTGGGGAGTCGGGCGGCCGCGGCGTGCAGGGTGGGAGTGGCCGGGAGGTCTGTTCTTAAAATTTAACAGCCCCAACCTGTCCGGTGGGAAAAAACAGGTCCAGCCCATTAAGCCGCCAAGGAGGTTAGACCCGGCCCCATGACACCATAGGAGTTCGCACCTCGGATGTAGACGAAGGGTTTCGGCTCGGCGAGAAGCGTCAGGAAGACGACGCACTGGCCCGCTGTCGCGGGTGACCCACAGCAATGAGTTTCTACTCCAGGGCCTCGTCCATCGAATCGTCTCGAAATCGTCAACGCTATACTTTGCAAGCCCACCGTCATCATCTGCAGCACCATATTACCCAGCCTCATCTCGAAAAATGCTCTCCTGAAATCCCGCCTCCTTCGCAGCACAGGCCGACGTAACACTGGAGAGCTCATCCGTCCCATCCTCCGTGGCACTGTCACCTGTGAGCTCTGGTTCGAAACGAGCCTTCTCCTTCTCATTACGCTTATCCTTCTGAGCCTTCTTATTCTTCTTGACCTTCTTCTCGTACTTCACCTCCACTGGTGAGTCGGCGCCCCCGGGGGAGGAGGACTCCCCGATGGAGTATTCCACGGCGTGCTGCGACGTGGCGGCGTCCTCGGCGCACGTACTCCCACAATTGGCGGAGTAGGAAGCGACGGCACCTTCGTTGCGTACGGGTGCTGCGGAGCAGCCTCCCAATTCCCAGGCGGGGGCGGACGGAGCGGCAGCCCTTGAACTGCTTGGATTGTTTGGTCCAGCGGCGCTTCGGGCTCTTCGACGTAATCGGCCGAGTAGTGGAAGGGAGAATGCTATCACAACGTAACATTGCTTACCATCGCTCGGACGTTCATTTCCAATGCCTTGTTTGGTTTTGTACGTTTTTTCTCCCACGATGTCCCGCGACGCTCCAGATTCTCTGCCGCTTGTCTCGCCGAGAAGAATCACGCGTCCGAGCGATGCCAAGATTAGGGCACGACTGGGCCGCCATCACTGGAGCCCGTAGGGGAGCAGAGCTCGGCAAATGTGCGGCGCCAAGCGCGTCTTCTAAAGCGTGTGGGGTCAGGAATCCACGGACCTGCTGCCTCTGCCAATCCAGCGGTGGCTTATCAATTGATACTGGTTGTGGGTGTGGTCCGTTGCATGGGCGTCATTGCCCTCCCTCCTCCTCGCCCCGGTGCCCATCTTAGAGATCCAATCGAATCAGGGGTACTAGGGGAGCAAAAAGTGACAAAAACATAAAAACTCGGAGGTCCGCGCGGATGTCTCGGATCGGCGCTGGACCCCCCCCCTCCCTGGCGCGCGGAGCGCGCCAGGGGCGGCGCCGGAGGCGCCGCCGGGGGTGCCCCAGCGCCGATCCGAGAAGTCCGCGCGGACCTCCGAGTTTTTATGTTCATGTCACTTTTCGTTCCCCTAAAAAGTGGAATTGGGAACGGCTTGCTGGACAGCGGCCCAATGACATGGACATGCGACTGCGGCTGCGTGGTCCCAGGGCGACCCCTGGCGGGGGCGTGTACGCTCTGGTGGCTTCCCTCGGTGGCCTCAAGAGCCCCGGAGGCGGAGCTGGCCGTCGCTCGGACGTCCATTTCCCGTGCGCTTTTCGGCTTCGTGCGTGTTTTTTCTCCTCGATGGTCCAGGATGGTCCTCGTGGTTTCTCGCCGAGAAAAAATGCACGCGTCCGAGCGATGCCAAGGGAGGGGACAGGGGGAGCCAGGGGGACGCTGAGACCAGCGAGCCAGGCGAAGCCCCTGAGCCGACGAGGACAGCGAAGAGGGGCGAGGAAGTGCAGGAGAGGTGTCGGGGGCTGGGACGCCGCGTCCGGTGTGCCTCGGGCCCACCCCGAGGCTAAGCCGGGCGTGGGGGACGAGAAGGAAGGAACGCATGCAACCCCGATAAGCTCGGAACAGTTTAGACCCAAGATTCATCAACGATGTTGTAGTAAACCCTCCCTTCAAGCCTTTCCCTCGCAAGCTCCTAAAAGGATGCGTGTCCACTGAAGGCAATGCCCCGTTGGGAGACGACCGTTTGAAAATCCTAAAGCATGTCAAAGCACCGTTCTCGAGACTTCAACGCAACGAATTAGCTCGACATTTGAGTTTTGATGATGGTAATTCGTGCCAAAACACCGTTCCTGGGACTTCAACACCGCAAATCAACGTAACTGTTGCGCCTGGGCAATTCGGAATCGTTCACAAACACCAATTGGTACGTTAGCCATGTGAATGGATGACCATTTCGCAATTACAAAAACAAGTGTGCGCGGCGCTAAAGCGAGAACCACATTTTGAAACAAAGACGCTCTCAATCCGCTAAAGTATTGCATATGCTCGAAACGAATGTGCGCGGCGAAAGGGCGAGAGCCACATTTGGAAACCACCAACCCGCTCTGAATCCGCGAAGCTGCTGCCAATGGTTCAAACAAATGTGCGCGGCGCTAAAGCGAGGCATCTCGGAAACGACCTGCTCAATCCGCGAAACTTGGGCAAATGTTCAAAACGAGCGTATGCGGCGCTGGGGCGACACCCACATTTTGATAACCACCCGCCCTCCACTTGTTAAGCTGCTGCAGAGTTCAAGCTTCAAGATCATACATGGCAAAGACCTCTCGTGCGAAACGCCCGGCACGCGTGTCGGAATGGCCTCGGGGTGCGACAGGGAGGAGTTCTTTATGAGGGAAAGGCATGGATGAGGAGGAAGAGGAATGGAGGAGGAGGAGGAGGAGGAGGAGGCGGAGGAGGAGGAATGGAGGTGGAGAGGAGGACTGGAGAGGAGGAGGAGGAATGAGAGGAGGAGGAGGGAGAGGAGGAGGAGGAGGAGGAGAGGAGGAGAATGGAGTGAGGAGGAGGAATGAGCAAAGGAGGAATGGAGGAGGAGGAGGAGGAGCTCGAGGACGAGGACGGCGAGGTCCTCCCCAAGACCGCGCCCAATGGGCAGAGGGCCGCGCCCGGCCGAGCGGCCGCGCGCGAGCGCGCGGGGGGCCTCCCGCAGCAGCGGCGACCGGCACAGCTCGGCGCTGCGGCGGCAGAGCTCGGCGGCGCGCAGCAGGGAGCCGCACCTCCGGGCGGCGCGGCGCGGGCAAAGTCGGGGCGCCGACCCTCGCTTGCCAGGGGGGCGACAGGGCGTGCGAGGTACGGGCGGCCGCCCCAGGAGGAGGAGGAGGAGGAGGAGGAGGAGGAGGAGGAGGAGGAGGAGGAGGAGGAGGAGGAGGAGGAGGGGGAGGAACGAGGCCCCTCTTCTTCCCATGAGTTAAGCTTTCGACTCACGGTGGAAAACCCAAGAGAAAAACCCAGGGCGAGCTTCAAGACAATCGATGAGCACCGAGCCCCCCCCCCCCCCCCCAACGGAAAGGGGGGTTCCTGCTTCGGCGCCCCGACTGCGAGTGGAGGCCTTCCGGCTTCGGGGGCGCGCAGGCATGCATGGATTGGCGATCCATGGATGTGGCGCGCGGTCGCCAGATGCATGGATCGGGGGAGGTGCCCTCCCCGGAATGCGGCCGGGTGCCGCCTCTCTCGGCGAGCGAAGTCCTCGACTTCCCATGGGAACGGGACCCGTGGCCAATCCACGTCCCCTTCACCCATGGTTGCGATCGCCTGACAGACGGGGTCAGAGTCCTATTGGCGGCGCGCACGCGGCGGTTGGCGTCGGCTGCGCGCCCCCCCGAGGCGTGAGAATCACCCGGGGAGCCGCTGCGCCCCGTGAGGCACGCAGATGAAACCATCGCATCCGCCTCCTCCTCAGCCTCTCGCGCCTGTGCACGACTGTGTGGCACCCATCTCGCGGGGTGCGAGCCAGCCGCGCGCAGAAGGGGGACAGGGGGAGGAGGGAAGGCTTCGTAGAGGGAGGCTGCGTCTTGGAAAGCGCGGGCCCCGTCTGCGGATGTGGGGCTGGCGCCTTCTAAGAAGCAGCCTCCATCGAGAAACCATCCCCCCTTCTCCTACCCTCCTGTGCACGCCGCCAATCTTAGACGGGGTCGGGGGTCCGCAGCATTACGCCGCATGCCACGTCGATGCACCGGCGACGCTGGCGACGCATTGGCAACGTCGGGGTGGAGAGAATCGGGCTCCACATCGGGCCGATTCATCGATACATCGGCGATGCGGCGCGAGGGCGTGAAGGTGCTGCAAGGACAGAGGTGGGGCTGGGAAAAACATTGCTCCAAGCGGCTACTGCAGTAAGGAGCTGCGAGTATCCAGGCAGCTTCGCTCTCTAACCTTAGGTCGGGCCTGTCCCCCTACAGGGGGATCTTGGGCGAAAAATCTAAAATATTCAAACAATCCCCACAAATGGTCAACAACTACTAAAAAATAGTCCCCAAACTATTTTCATTCCTCCTGTAGAGCGACAGGCCCGACTTAACCCCAACCCCACCTTGGGGTACCCCCCCCATCTACCACCCCCAGAGTTCAGGCGGCGCGTTGCAGCCAGATGTGGAATCCTTGCAGTCGTCGTGCGTTGGAGGAGGAGGTGGCGGTTGAGCAGGAGGAGCAGGAGGAAAAGGAGGAGGAGGAAGAGGAAGATAAGGAGGAGATGGAAGACAAGGACGAACAACAGCAGCAAGAACTGGAATGCAAGGAGCGGGAGGATCAGGAGGACCAGGGGAAAGCGGAGGGAAGGGGATGGGGGGCGACAGCGATGAGGGACTGGGACCCATGAAAATGGCTCGCGCTGTGGCGAGAGCGCAAGTCGAAAAAACGGGAGCAAAGCGCCGATCCTAGAATGAGGCCCACGCTGCAACGAGAACACCATTTTGAAACGCATAACACGTTCCGTTTGGACAAAAAACACTAGGACAAAACACAAGCAATGCTATCCAACGCAACAACACATCGGAGAGCGTGGAACATCCTCTGGACTGAGCCAGGGGAGACGGGAGAGCAGTAGTCGTAGTGAACATTTGTGGAGCGGTGGTGGGGAGGATGGAAAAGGCTTCGAGCTGCGCACAGGCAGCCCTCCCAGGCAGTCCCAATTGGCCTCAAGTGAAGGGGCTCCGGGACACACAAATAAATACAAACAAATAAAACAATTCCCCATATTTTCCCATATTGTCTGGGTTTCTGCCTTCCCCCCCCACTTCTTGTATTTTCCTATATTTTCTGGGAAATCGACGATTCATTGTGTCTGTGTGTTTCTTTCCCTCCTGATAGACCTGGGGGAGGGGGGGGGCTGTCCGCGCGCAGCCCGAGGCTTCACCAGGGAGGCGGGAGGGGGGGGGGAGGACCCCCTCCTCCCTCTTGGCGGCGAGCGCGGGGGGGAAACGAGAAGGGGCAGGGCTTCTCAGAAGGCTCGGGAGTCCCCAGGCCGTCCGAGAAGTTTTCTACGCCTTCCCCGAGGACAGGAGCCAACTCCTCAGAAGGCGTGGGGGCTTCTGAGAGGTCCGACCGCCTTCTGAGAAGGCCTTCTCCTTCTCACTTCCCCCCCTCGCTCGCCGCCGACCCTCCTCCGCAGGGTCTTCGGGGGCGGCGCTCGTGGGCCGGCTGCCGGC